ATTTTGAATAAAATTGAAAATAATATTTAACTAAATAATATAAAATTTATTGAAATGATATTATTAATAATAATTGATATTTATTTGAAATTACTTTAAAATATTAATTTTGATTTGAGATTAATTTAAAAAAACAATTTTAATTTAAATCCAATTTAAACAATTTAAATCCAAGATTCGATTTTTATATTGATGTTCATTATACATATACATATGCTTTTTGTCGCTTACATATTCTTATATACATATGCTTGTTTAATTATGGCACGCTCTGCCTAGGAGCGGTCACGTTAAAAAAATCTTGTCAATTCAATTACGATTTGACAAAAAATATAAAGCGAGACTTGATCGTACTCTTGATTATTTGTTTGTCGTCTATCTATCGACTGTCAAAACTCTTAAAACGCAAGGGGCGTTCGACAATAGAGGAGTCGACAAAGACTAATAGATTATATTTAAAAGTTGAGAAAATTTATATTTAACACTGACCATTGCAGCAGAAAATATCATCGAGCACGCGTGTGTCCTTCGGAAATGCATTGCGTAATAACGAAAGGAAGTCGTTATTGAATTACGCTCAAACCGCCCGGAAATGTAATGCGTAGATTCATAATAGCCGCGCAACATGCTCGTTCGTTATGAGATTTGTAACACGACAAATGAAAATACTAGAAAATGATAAATATGATATATCGATGAAAAGCGTTATTTCAATCTTATTGTACCATGTTCAATTTTCCTGCATTTTACTTATCGCTATTTGACATTATATGTATGTATACATTTATAGATCTTTTTAGTAGAGACTTTTCAAAAAGATTTATAAAAACCTGGACACGCGTATTATATATTAGAGCTGTTTGGAATAAATCCATCGGAATTGTTTGATTGTTCCCTAGATTTTTATTGTGTTTCTTAAGAAATCTAAGAAAAATTCCGATCGAAACATTCCGAACAATTCCACAATATGTACCCTGAAAACTATTCATATATTCCATTATATTTCATAAACCATTATATCCTTTCTTTTTTTTTCTTTTCTTTTTTCTTTCATTTAAGTCTTCATTTAAGTCTTTTTATTCTGAGAATCGTAAAAATAGATAGTTGAAAGTTATTACCTTCAGTCTACCTGATCCCTACACCCAGTTTAGAAAGATATAGCTTAAAGGTTTCTAACTGAAGCCTAGAACAGTTTAAAAGCTCATAGGTCATAAATCATTTAGAATTCAAACAAGGGAGGTTAACTGACTTCTTTAAATAGTCGTTAAAATTCTTTCAATTGGCAAATTGATATTCGCGAACTCATCTAGTATCTGCAGAGCTCCACTCGCGAAGAATATTAATTAGATTCTCTGTGGGAGAGAGCCGGGCCGCGATTCCAGATGCTCGACGACGACATTAAACTTCATTTCTATACCAATGTAGATTAACTTTAATTCTCGGTTTAACTTATTTTATATCTTTTTCCAATTCTGAAAATTAGAAAAAGATAAACAGTGAATTAAATCGAGATTAAAATTAATCCACATTGGTAGAAATAGACATAAATTCGTGATGATCGCAATCCGCGTCACACTCCGCGTACGTCCGCGTTTGATTCTCGTGAGAGACTGAATTGTAGGTGCAGGTATCGATATATACGAAGGGTACGTGCAGGGTAAGGTTAGGCATGGGGGCGTATCATCCAACCATTGCGATCCTTTCTCGCTCCTTCTGGCCCTACGGACCGGGCTACTTGTCCGCGTCGTGAATACAACCCTCGAGGCCCTCGACGTCTCGCTGTCGGAAACGGCGAGATCGGAATTGCTCCACGCGCCGGTGCATATCGCGCGAACGATATGCAACTCTCTCTCGGCGGACAAAAGCGATCAATTAGAAATTCAAGTTCGATCCCTTCCCTTCTCTCGTTTTCTTCTTGATCTCACCGTCGATAGTTCTCGATGCCCGTATAAACTTCGACAGATGGATGTAGCGATAAACGCGGCTTTGAATGAATAGATACGTCTCGGTATCTTAAAGATGACCTTTTTTGCATGCAGACACATTAGGGTGGGAAATATCTATTAGTTATTTTCATATAAACATTTTTTTCACTCTATTAATGTGTACTATCTACCATATAAATCCTGAATGATTTTTTTTAACATCCTGTGTGTGTGTGTATATACATATATATACACACACAAATGCAAATAAATGTGTATATCTATATTATTTTTTGGAATTCCTTTGAATATGCGAAATATCGAAATGTATAACATATTTAAGCTAATGTAGGTATTTCGTTTCAATGCTTCTATTCATATTAAGCAAAGTCATTTACTGTTATCTTATCTGAATCGGTACGATGTCTGTACATATTTCTCGCAGTTAGTATCTTTTACTTATTGTTAGAGTATAGTATACCTTATATATTATAATACAAATATTCTCTCACAATAATTTTTTTTACATATTTAATATTAACATGATTAAATTTAATATTAACCTAAGGATATTTTCGCTTCTTGCAAAATCTAAATTCTTACCAAAAATAACGTTTTAGAAATGAATGGATAAACGTATATTAAAAAATACAGATAATTTTATTGGGACTATATATAAAATGACTATCAGACTCTTTAATGAAAAAAAAGTGTACAGAAACAAAGTAATCCATTTTTTTTCCACAATTTTTTGAGTGTTAAATATGATTCCGTTTATCAAATTGTTCTATTACGTCACAATCAAAATTTTTTAGAAATTTACAATTAAAGTTGTAAAAAAGAATTATTTTAGTGATCTGAGAATAAAAACAATTGCAATATAATTTAATTATGAATTAGTCATTTTCAGTGCCAATTATATATTTATAATTGTTTTATACAAATTATTATAGTTGCTTCAACATTGCATTACAATAATCACACATATAATATATGTTCATGTATAAACTTATTAAAAGTGATTGTTTCCTTATTTTCGTTTTATGTTTTTATTTCCTATTTTTTAATTATTATTACTATATAAATAGTAAGCAAATAATAAGAAAATATTTATGTTCACTATAATTGCGATTGCATTTATAATAAAAATTTATTTATCATTCATATCTTGATATTTTAAATTATCGTAATTCATAGTTAACAGAAATATAAATATATAATTGTTATTATTAACATTATAGTACTATCCTACATACAATCCTATTGCTTTTAAATTAGAATTCCCCGTAATGTAAAGCGATTTTCTGAATGGAGAATGAGAAAGATGAATACTATAGACATGGATATAGGGACTGTGAATAAACTCGTAAAATAGGCAAGGGGCGTGAAACCGAAATGCGGGTGATAACTATGCTTAATTTTTTTTTTTGGTGACGGCTGTCCGCATACTATCGCTTAATCTTCAATTTGATTGATAGATTTCGATTCATCTGATGCATCGAATTACAAATGACTTGGCGTTTATTTACAAAGAGTTAATATATATAATACATATAAAAATACATACACATAAAAATATTATTTTTCAATATAATACTTAAAAAATTTATATTTATATATATTTATTTATACATACATTCATATTTTTATTTACATACATACATATTATAAAATATATATTAAAAGATCAAAACATATTTGAAATAAAGAATATAATTATTATAAATAATTATTTATTATTGTTATTACATTATATAATTTTTTATTGTTTAATATTCTTCAAATAATTTTATTTAATAAGCCGTTGAATATTTGATTTTTATCATTTACTATTTAAAACTGTATAATATAATCAAATTTTAATGTATTTTTGAACAACAGTTCGAGTTAAGTAAACAACACGGTTTTTTATACTATCATGCACGTGTTTATCAAAATCACTGAATAAATCAGATTTATAAATTGTTATGTAAAATTTAATTTATTAAATAATATCCATTAAATTTCCATTTTATATATTATATTTTACTTTCGCGAATAGCACAACATATTTCTGCTTCTTTTACGAGCAATTCTTATAACTTCATTCGGAAAGTTGTATTAACCGTTCGTGACTTTTTGTATCTATTAAATTATTTTTTTGCATTTGCGCTACTAATACGGCTACTAAATAATTTTTACACAAAAAGTTTTTTTGCAATTTTCTTAACTATAATCAGCGATATTCAATATGATCCGAGAGAACTCTCTTATTTTCCTATAACAATTCTGGGAAATGTAGTTATGATCATTAATTTATAATGATAAGATAGTATAATCTTCATTAGCATTATCATTTTCATTAAATTCCTCACAGAATAGCACTGCATTTTTAATAATATTTGAAATACAGTTTCTAACTTTGTTATTCTCGCACGACAATCTATATGTATATCATTGCGCTTCTGCAAACTAACAACTAATCTTTGAACAAACTTCGTCGCATCATCTCGCGCTGGTTCCCCCCTTCCCTCCCCATCCCCCGCAATGAAATGCTCACAGGGGATTGGACTACATCTTGCTCTTCCCCTTTTCGGAAAATCCAATCGCTTGACAAAGCTCGACTTTGCTCTACTCAAATTTTAAAGCGACAGGATAGAGCCTTACGAATTCTTGTCATTGAATCCCCCATGACAAAGAGGAAGAAAAAAAAGAGAAAAAGAGAAAGAAAGAGAGAGAGAGAGACTTCGAAAAGCAATACATACATTGACATGATCGTTCTTCGGAATCACTTACTTTCTCGATTGATCCGCTTCCTCCCTCTACCACCTCCCGGACACGCATAATACCGGTGTATTAATTATAAAAGTATTGGCGGCTCTTTGGGCGATAGCGTTGAGAGCTTTTCTTGACCGCGAGGATCACGGGTACGTGCACGCCAGGCGCTACGAGTGGCGGCGCCGTCCCTGGCGTGGCTGGCGCACGGGGGAATCGGGCACCGGCGGCGACAGCCGACAGCGCGAGCGCCAGCGTGTGGGGGTACGTCTCCCTAAGATGGAAGATCCGTGAATGCCGAGCGAACGGCCGAACAGTCGCGTCCGAGCTGCCGCGAGGTGTGCAGTGCCACGCAACCGGTGCCGTTGTCGACAGAGTGCGCGTGAGACGGTGCCGAGAGATATAAGGGCCAAAGCCGCACGGAGTGCCTACAGTTCCGCCCGGAGTCGTGCCGCGCGCCGAGAATGAAATTCATCCCTCGTCCGACACAGTACGACCGTGGCAGTAGAGGCAGCGATCGCGACGTCAGTAATAGTAGTAGTAGTACTAGTAGTAACAGTAGTAGTGACAAAAGTGGTGACAGCAAAACGAGCAGGACGTATAAACGGCAGGACCACCGAATACTATAATAAACCGTCTCTTCTTTTTTTTCCGTTTCTTTCCCGCACACGCGCGCGCGCACACACACAGAGAGAGAGAGAGAGACACATACGTGTACGTACGTACTCGACGGCGAATTCTCGCGAATTTACACGCACGCGCCCGCGTGCCGGGCACGCAGCTACGAACGTTCGCGACGCCGGTGTCACACGCCGGGCTCGCGAGAGGCGCGGCAAGGGAATAAAGCGGGGACAGAGAGAGTGTGCGGATGTAGGGTTGAGAAGAGAGAGAGAGAGAGAGAGAATTAGGATACAGTTTGTAACGTAATCGGGAGTGGTTTTTTTCCGCCCTCGGAGTGCTTCCGCAGTGTGGAGTGTTAATCGTCGATACGAAGATTTTCTTCCTAACCCCCCCTCGCCGGTGGTGGCTCCGCGCATACCGGCGCATTGACATCGAGATCGAAGATTGAAACAAGATTACAAATGGAAATGGCGAGGATGCTGTGCCGCCCCGTGCACTCGGTCGACACGGACTGGTCGAGGATCGGCCGCCGCGAGCAGTCCCCATTCCGGGATCTGGGATATTACAATGTTCTACTGTCTCAACTGTCACAGCTGCGGGAGCTGCAGCGGGAGGCGTGGGAGGCAGAGCAGGATCTCCTGTTGGGGACTTTCGATTTTCCCTCGCGGATCGAGCCGAGGGTCGCGAGATCTCGCGCAGACGACAGCCGCGCGGATGACAGCCGCGCCGGTGCGCGGCAGAACGAGCATCCTTCACATCACCAAGGTTCATATTACCAATAATCCCCAATTTATTCACGTTTCCCCCTTCCGAGAGTTTCCTATCGCGAGAGAGAGAGAGAGAGACACTCTCCCCCACGAATCTCTCAACTCGGTATCTCGCTCCAACCGAGCCCAACCCGAGCATGAGCACGAGCACGCTCGCCCGTGCGCGAAGCGGCGCGTGCTTAACGGCGACGTCTCCTCGCCTCGCGCCGAGCGTGTCGCCGCCCACGCTCGGCGTCGCGTCGTGCCGGCACCGGCACCCGGGCACCGGCGGCCGGCCGGCCGGTCGGCGCGACGCAACGCTTTCGCGGTTGTAGAACCGGAGGGTTCTATTTTCACATTAAGTCGCGACTTAGTCGAGGAGACGTCGCGATAATTACGCCGAAATTTCGCACTTCACGGGGGGGAGGGTGGCGATCCCTCGAAGCGCAATACGATCAGATAAAGAGAATTGCTCCACGTTGCTCTTAAATCGGCAGCGTGGATGACTTAAATTGCGCGGATGCGCGACAAACGTAAAACCATGAAAAACCAAGTTGGCTGAACAGATCGACTGCAGGGATCGATCATTTGTTTGCAAGTAAGTTTAGTGAGTTCTTCTATACTTATCTCGATTTAACGGGAACGCGAAGCGTCGCGGAGCTTAATGGATAACTCAGAAAAACTCTATAACGAAAGTAAATTCATTCCTTCGTTTTAGTTGCGTGAATTATATACATATTATACATATATATATATATATATATATATATATGTATATATATATATATATATGTAGATGAAAATACGAGTGTAACAAGAGTAACGCGCAACTTCTATAATTAGCGGCCGTGTACTTGCGCGCGCGGGGCGCGGGTTCATCGAACCTTCCTACCTTGCCTCCCAGCATCGAGTTTATCGGGAATCGATGGGAATGAGTATGACGCGTGCGCTCGCTCGTAAGGAATCCGATTTGCGCGTGTTGCGCTTTTTAAATGGCTCTTTACGGAGCGTGACGGGGCTGCCGGTGTTGTCCGCGCGCCGGCAAGTCCGCGTTGCATCGCACGCGAGCGGAAATGCACGCGCGCGGCAGGCTCGATCTGACGTTACTTATAACGCGGATGTTCTATTCTGTGCTTACGCGCGAAGGAATCTTTCGCGGGGGCAGGCGTAAAAAAAAAAACCAGAACGACGAGTCGTCCCTCGAAATCCGTTCTTTTCTTTTTTTCTAGAATATTCTAGAAAAAAAGAAAAATCTGCCTAGAAAATCCTAGTTGCGCTGGAAGTTTTTTCTTACACACACGCGGAAAGAACGATTTTGCTGAATACAGATCTGAAAATAATTTTTGCTGAAAGATCGAAATAATTTTGTTTAACAATTTTGTCAACGACCATTTTTAACTTTCCAAAAAAATTATTTTGATGATTCAACAAGAATTCATTTTCAGATCTGTGTACAGCAAAATTTTTAGACCTTCCAACAAAATCGTTCTTTCCGTCAACACGTAAATTTTTTACATTTTATAAATATACATCATCTATCTATACAATACTTATGAATGTATAACATATCACATTGCAACGAAATGTAATGTTAATTCCGCATCGCGCGGAATTTCGTTTGTCTTCAACAAACAGCCATCAAATTCCGTTCGGTCTTTGACATTCTTCCGAAGATGAATGAAAATATGTCTTTTATTTTGTCTCTTCATTTATTCGCCGGTACATTTACTCAAATATTCGGGCTTCTATTTATTTTTCCGTCAGAAAGATTGATCGGCGCGATTTTCCGACGATCACGGTTTTAGTCAAACATTTTTTTTTACGCGCGAATGCCTTCTGTTGTGTTTCTCTTTCAAATTCGTCCTAAATATGTGCGATATATATATAATATATATATAGTACGTTTCTCATCATTTGCGCATTTGTCAGTCCGTGTCTTTATCGGAAAGAGCATTTACGTGCTTATGCTCTGAAAAAAGAAATGTTAACGCGCTATTTTTATCCGCGGGCAAAAAATTGTAGGTCCAGAAATACATCGATAATTTTCCTCCTTTCTTCGCGTCAAATAGGTTCGTGTCCGCGCGTTTTTCGTTGTCCGTTCGTACGTTTCGCAGAGAAAAGAATATTTACATGTTCATTAATAAATTTTTTTTCCTCGAAAGCCACGAGCCGTTGCGCGCAATTTTCTCTGACACCCTGCCAAAAATCCTTTCAGCGCATCTATACATTCGCGAAGTATTTTCCGACTAATTTTTCCGAGAACTGCCAATTTTGTTTTCGCGACTGCCAACCACCGGCGTGACTCTTTCTATCGAACGGCGTCGCGCTCGGCTGACACGGCTCCGGTTGATAAGGCCGTTTGACGTGACAGGAAAAAAAAAGAAAGAAATGCTCGTGTACTTGACGCGTGTTGAACTTTCATCGATCATCAAAGCGGAAAGAGAACGCGCGCGGCCGTTCCGATTTAATTGCCGTGTGCCGGCCGGCCGCGCGCGATTTTTCGCCGCTCCATCCAGCAGTTTCGTTCACCGCGGCTCACCCTTAATTAGCATCCGATGGAAAAGCTGTCGGCTCGTTACACGCTCGAGCGATAATGTTCGGCGGAAGCCGGGCGCGTATATATGTGTTGTATACCCCGCCTATCTGCATCTGGACCGGTTTCCCCGTTTCTCGCGACTTGTATAGGCGGCAATGGAGAGTGGAGGGGGGGGGAGGAGAGGTTTCGATCGCGACGACCAGCGCGTCACCGTCGTGTCGTTCTCGTCGTCATCGTTGTCAGTACTATCGTTTTCGAAAGTCCGCGAACGAAAGCGGCCTCTCCCCTGCTGCTTATCAGATTTGCTCGAATAATTTCTCCCGCGTCTCGCGATCGCCCGCGATTCGGCCGCCGCGGCCGCCACCCACCATCGTCGGTGAAATTGCTTCTCCTAAAGGGGAGAGACTGCGACAGAACGCGGAGCGGTAGCGTTGAGTGCCCTTCGCGAAGCGCCTGCGCGCAACGAATGGGATAGATTCCGGTAGCCCAGTGCGTAAAGCGAATTGAATTCAATAAAGAATGTTAAAAGATACGTTAAGATTCTGTTAAGAAGAATATATATATATATATTAAACTTGATAAGTAATTTAAGTTGCAATAGCGAACTCTTCAGATTACTTACGAAATTGGATCTCCAGAGGAGCACTAATATATATACATTTTTTTTTTTTTTTAAGAAAGCGGTAACGAAAAATTAATTCTTCCTACGCTTTTCACAAAATTTGAAAGATTTTGTGAACACCCTGTATGCCACGGTACTGACCTGCCTCTATAAGTGCTATCGTCCTGACCTGTGTCTATGGCGCTATGATCTTGTCCCGCTTCCTCTCCCCACATTACTGACCTATCTCGTCTATTTAATCGAGTATATTTAACGAGCGTAAACAAAGCGTCGAGATAACGAATATACGTGTCAAAAAGAGCTTTATTTATCGCTTTTTTTTTTGGAGCACACAAGTCAGGTTATTTGTATATAGAAAACCTAACGGCGAAAATGACAAATATCGAGATCAGTAGAGATCAAGACGTATTGTTGTGCGCGCGTCCGGCGAAAATGGTTAAAATTTCAAGATCGCGAGAAGGAATGTCCGAAATATATATCACGTCACAAACGATGCCTCGGCCGAATGAATTCGATACGAGTAACGAGTCTATATTAGGTAAGAGGAATGTCTCTTTATCTTTGCCCTTTCTTGCCCGGTCACAGCGGAGATATAACGGTGCAAAGTCCGTGAAATCGGCGTAATTCGATAATTAGTTGTTATCGCGATACGCTTACTATGTGATTTATAGCGTCGGACGCGCGATTCTTACGACTGATTTCGACTATCGACGCTACCGACAAGACGCGTGACAATATACGGTGATCCGGATAATGTTGACAGTGCCGGTTTTTGCCATCATACAGAATCTGTTTTTCGTTGCATCAACAATTCCTGCATCATTTTTACATAATCGTTTTTCCATTTTTATTTTTATTTTTTTTAATCAAATTGATCAAAGCTGTAACGAAACAATCTTTTTTTTTTTTTCTATACGACTCAGTTGACCCGCGCAACTTTCTTTCGAGTTGCCGAAAAGGAAATAAGAATTTTGTTATTTTCTCACGCCGTGTGACAGTGGCCGAAATAATTAAGTCGTTCCCTTCGTCAGCACAAGCGTCTATTTGCGCGCGCGATCATTTGTTGTCCGCGTGCTCGGTGCCATAAACGAGAGCGTTTTTTTTTTCCTCGCCGAGAGTCGAAACGGTCTTTGGTTCTGAAGGCTATTACAAAGTTTGTCTCTCACATCAGTTACCTACCTGTAAACTTTTTTCTTCGTCGAACTGTCAATATTATTGGAAACGTATGAAATTGGGATATGAGAAGATCGCTGTAAGGTACACATACGAGATATACTTATCTATTTATACGAAAGTTATATAGTTTTTTTTCATTAGTTACATATTTTTTATTGTGTGTACTTATTTACTTTTGATATTATTAGATTATTGATATTATTAGGATACATTAAATCACGTTAAATTTAATTTTTGTGATACTTTCTTCTATTAAGTTCTTCCAAGTTCTATTTCCATTTTTTTATATTTTTTACCTTTTTTTTTATTTTAATGTCATTTTGCAGTTCATTGTTCTCATTTATGTTTTGTTTCTCGCGTGTTAAAAAGAAAATCAGTCAAATGTAGAATATAAACGAATATAAATTGTAAGAAGTTAATTAATTAAATATACATATTACATATTAATTATTTTTTACACAAAGAGAATGTTTTGCGCCGCTTGAAAAATAATTGAGACGAATAATAAACTTATACAGAATAAGGAACTGTGCGACGTGTGATTATATAAGTCTTCAGCGAAGGTTTAATAAACTTGTAAATAACGGAAGGAAGGAAAGGAAATAACTGGCACGAGAAAAATATCCGTGGAACTAATCTTCCTGTAATCGTGATTCATCGCCCGCAGGGCGTCATCCGTATACACATACACAGTTTCCCATCTGCTTTAGGCAAAATCGCGATCTTGAATTCCAACTGGCATAGTTAAGCGATGAATCACCGCCGCGTGACATAATTGGCGCTTCCGCGTATTTTCAATCGCCGCAATTGCTTCCGTGCTATCGTTTCTTAGATAAACCGAACCGTCAAAGATGACTGCCAATTATGACACCGACGTATCTCCCCCAAATTATCGACCACATTTTAATTCTGTGTCGTAAGTGAATCAATTGCTATGCGAGAAGGACATGTTTATTGTAATATTATGCAATCATTTCTGCCTTTGCCCTTTGCCTCCGATTTACATATTTTACATATTTTAAGTATAACGATGAAATACGATAACAGGATTAATACTTTCCTTCTTTATGTTTTCTCGATCATTTTAATTAATTCATAAAAAAAGTGTATACATATGTATCAAGGTATCATATGGAGAATAATAAAGTAAAAACTTTGATTATTAAACGACTAAATTCGAAAAAGAAAAAATCTTGAAAAGGTAGAAAGATATGAGATTTTATATAAGTATCAAAAATAGATTTGTGGAATCTCATATTTCTCTACTTTGTCATAACAGTTTTAATAACAACTAAAAAGTATATATACATATGTATCACGTACAAAATTGTATAGATATACATTTATATCGTAAAGTGAGGTATATTTCTTGGTTGCTGTGGTTGAATTAGTTCAGAAAGAGATGTTGAATGTTGGAATTGACTACATGTATTAGAAAGTAACATTAAGGATTGCATACCTGCAGCGAAATGCATTCCGAAAGGATATAAATAAAAAATGAATATAATAGTCTCTCCTGTAGAGGCTGTAGATAAGAAGAGTTATCCTGATGACAATTAGACGTCGATGATTTATTATTGGTCAGGACAGAGTCAGTCGTTTTGCGAGTAATGATTTGTCACTTTGTGGCATATTGTGTTATCCATTTGGCTCCGTTTCACGTTATTTATCCAAAACTTAAATTTCATTCACTTCAACGCTAATTTAAATGGAAAACAAATTGTAGCTATTACATTGTTTGAATTTAATTAATAGAAGTTTAATATATGTATAAGTTAATACGCACGCATATACATATGTAATGTTTCATATACAATTTCTATCATAAATAATATTTATTACAAACAATTGAGATTGTAAAACGCTTTTAATATTTATTGCATTTACCTTAAAACAAATTATAGTTATTACATAATTTAATTAGCAAATAAAAAGTTTAAGTTGTCTCGTGCGTATGTGAATAAACGAGATCTGGAGAAATTGAATGGAAGAAGAAAGTATTACAAATTTTTGCAACAGCGTATATGTCACGATTTTTTCCGCTTTTAAATTTTTTAATCAATATTAGAAGTAAATTAATATTATGCGCAAATATATTAATTAATAAAATGTATATGTACAACACACATTTTATTTTATTTTGTTTATTATTATATTTTATGTATTTGTATAATATTGATTAATTTCGTAAAAAAAATTAAAAGCGGAAAAAATCGTGATCGAAAAGCTATGGTTAGTGCAATAAAGGAGGATAAAAGATGTGTTGGTCTAATGAAAAGGTCATCTATTTTCATAGTGGTGTGCACATGTTTATCGCAACCTTCATTCCTATTTTCGAAATCATTAATTACATGCTGTTTTATTGATACATACGATAATACGCCTGCATTACAGTATGTGATGCAATTCCGCGCGTTATTCTATTGCAATGAAGTAACATATTGCAATCAGCAGTGGAAAATAATAAAGTAAAAACTTCTATTATTAAACGACTAAATTCGAAAAAGAAAAAATCTTGAAAAGATAGAAAGATATGAGATTTTATATAATATATCGAGATTTTAAATATATCGAAAATATATTTGTGGAATCTCATATTTCTCTACTTTTTTCAGTCATAACAGTTTTAATAACAACTTTTTTATTTTTTTATTTTAAAATCTTGCTAACAAGATTTATACTTTAATTTTGATGACAAATATTTAATTATTCGATATAAACATTTGACCTAAATTATAAGCGTCATTGATTAAACATTTTCTGTTTAATGTCACTGAATTAATTCTTTTATTAATTTAATTTTCTCAAGGCTTAACATAAGTCGAGAATTCTCATATTCTTGTCGTGATGCGATTAATGATTTATTTCCGTAAAAGTGGTACGAAAACAGGACGAGTCTATGAATTTTTTAATACACTAGATATTGCGTAATTTTGAATTGTTTGTTGAATAAAAATCTATTTGAAAAACTTACACAATTAATTTCTCAATTAATATCGAATGTTTTAGATTTCGAAAATCAGATTAACGCCGGAGTGGAAATTCTTGGCCGGGAATTGCAACGGCCTTTGGATACATCGGGCAGGGATACGAACGTCCCTTTGCAATCGCAGTTGCAGCCGCAGCTCCAGTCGCAGACTCCAACATCAGAAGCGCGACCGGACCAAACGTCGAATGAGGCCGCAAGGGAAGATCAGCAGCGGGGCGCGGTACTGGAGTCGAAGACGGACTGTCTGACGAGAGGCTTGGACAACGAGATGTTGGCGGTCTCGGAATGGAAGCAGGAACTGTTCGAGTTACCGGAACGGGACCTGCTTCTGTCACAATCTGACCTCGACTCGATGTGGGGCGATCAATATGCCAAAGATATAAGTCTCCAAATATCCGAGAATCCCGACTTGGAGTTCGACTTCAGGGACATCTTTACAAAGTACGAATATCGTAACGTACTGCTGTCCGACTCCGCCCTTGGCACCCTGAGGCCCTTCAGTCGCGAGGTGCAAAGCCAGCGCGCGCCTGCACCGAACACGGCCAACAGGAGTCTGCTGAGATCGCAGCAAAGTGCCAACGGCGCGCTTCCGTCCGCGCATTCGAACGACTATCTCACGAATCTGTGGGACGGCGAGGAGGAGATGCCCCAGGACGAGCCAGGCACGAGGAGAACTACCATACAGGACGACCTGCTCTCCTGGGGGCTCCCGGAATCTCTCACGACACTGAGAGATTCGGATTTCGAATCGGGGACCGACGAGGAAACGGAGGCGAGCGATTGGCACGAAGGGTCCGAGAACGTCACATCGGACCAGAGTGGGGAACGGCTGCGGATGGACAACAGCCCGAGAAGCTCCCTCAGCGATCACACTTACCACCAGGTGAACGCGCCCGACGACGAGGAACCGGAAGAATCGGATTCCGGTAAGTGAAACGCCACACTTCTCTGATGTCTCGGGGCTTTTCTATAAAATCTCGCGATTTAACGACGAACGATCGATCGAGACTTTTAACGTTTCAATAGCTGCTTTAGATTCTAGAATAATAATGCGTCGAATATTAATAATAAATAAATGCAAATTTTCGTCATGTTTAACATTACAGAAGCGCGTATACACACTACTTTCGAAGGCAAAAATTTATATTTTGATAAATAGCACGCCCGATGCGAATCGTTCCTCGGTAAATCACATAAATTCTACCACCCGCACAATGCGTGATGTATGCAAGTAGATAAATTGCTTGCTCTAATTTCATTCTGCAAGCGAATTTCGCGCTGTTTAAATCTCATCCTGTTTTCTCCCGCGCTTCGCGCTGAAGGGTCGTTTAAGGGTAAATATGTATGTACGCGAAAATAAAAAGTCGCGAAAGGACGCCGTGCTAAATAGACGGTGAAGGTGACAAACAAAACGGAGCATTTTGAAGTTCGATGGCGTCTCGGACGCGGGGAATCGCGCGGCAATCGGCGGCACGGCACGGTGGTTGTGCCCTGTGCGGTGCCACCCGGCTGAATTTCGGCCTGTACCCGCATGGGTATGCTAATCGGCCGGGGGACTCTCGGTTACTCGTCATCGCGCCCGTTCGCTCGCTCGATTGCGCGACAACGACGACGACGACGACGACTGAGAAACTCGTTTTCGCGCGCGAGCGCGGAGGTCGGCAGACTAACGTCCTCCAGGCGGTAATTTATTGCGAGAGAGATCCCGTGAGAATTTCGTGCCTGCCGCGGAATTGATTCGTCAGTATATAAAACGTCGGAAGGAAAGGAAAGGTGGCGAGGCGAAAGAAAGAAAACGGAAGGGGGGATGAGATAAGAAAGAAAGAGGGACGGGGGAGGAAAGGGAAGGTGGCCGAGTAGTGTTCCGATAAAGCGAGAGAGAGAGAGAAAAAAAAGATACGCGTGTCCTCGAAGTAAGCCGAGCGCGATGCCGCGAGAGAGCGAGCGCGGCGAATTTCGCGCGCCGTTAACACTCGAATGTCTCTCTTATTATAGAGCCAAGCAACACAAGCCGTTGTACCGCCGTCGCGTAATCGCGATAACGCCGAGCGAGACTCGCCGTGATTACGCGAACAATTGTGGGCATTACGTAATTTTTTTTTTTCTCTTTTATCCGATCGCCCGGATTTATTTATGTAAATCCCCGTGCGGAACATTGTTTCGTATAAATGCCGTTTTATTTACTCGTACGATACGCGTGAATCCCTCCTCCCCAAAGTTTATTCTCGTTCCCTCCTCCCCCTTTCTCTCTCTTTCTCCGCGATCTTAAAATCGTCTGTTTAACATGTAAATGCTGTGCTAACCGCCGGTATGGATCTCCTATGAATGTCCATGCGCTGGAGGCGTTCGATGGTATTTCTAGGACTCGAAGGATATTTGCGGTGCATCATCTCGAGGTGTATTTCAGCGAAGCGCTCGTCGTCTCGCTAAACAGCCGGTTTAAATGCACGGCGCGGCGGCGGCGGCGGCGGTCCTTCACGGTGGTGGATCCTGCTCTCTTGTCTCGCGCCGGGTGTGTACAGGCCCGCCTGTACAGCTCCACGTACGATGTATAAGGCCGTAAAGTATCGAGAGCGCGCACTCCGTTACTTCTCTTTCGCAATACAGCTCGCGGACAATGAGTCCGATTTGCGCCGCGTCGTCCGTTCCTGCGTCAATATTGAGCGAGAGCGTCCGTCCCGTCGCTCGCATCAGCGTCGTATATAAGCGTTACTTAATTGCCGGCCGTCTCTCACTGTTCCTCTCCCCTCGGTTGACACCAATGATTACTGATTACCATCTCGGCGAAGGAGCTCGAGCTGATAGATCGCCGCCGTGGCATCGATCGCGCGACCCGGCCGTTGAAAACCCTCTCCTCTCCGTCGTCGTCGTCGTCGTCGTCGTCTTCTTCGGCTCGAGGCATCGGCGCAAAATCTGTGTCGAGGTCAGGAAAAGTTATCTATCGGTGTGTAGCTTCGTGAATTAAGATCGCCGAAGAGATGCGCGCCTGGTGTGTTTTCTGCGAACTATCACGATCGTATCCGAAACCTGAACGCGGTCGAAATATGAAATATTATTTGCGACGATATATTATAGATGATAAAAATACGACGTAATTTTTGTAATCATTCGGCTGCGATCACGCGATAAAAGGATTTACGCGCGCATTCTCTCCTTATCATCGAGCGCTCGTATTTGGCGTACACGCCTGCACCGCGGACAAATCGTCGAGCGTCGAAAAGCGTTGCCGCAAGTTGCACAATAAGGCGCAAGTTGAGAATTGAAAGCGATCGATTAGAAGTCGTCACGATGACAAGTACGTTACGTCGAACGATTTTTTTTTCCGTTTGAATATACGATCGCACGACTTTTGCCGGTCGGTCGGCCGGTCGGCCGTTGTTATCGTTATCGTGTCGTCACACACGTGCGTCAATTTTATTTTTCACGCACGCGGAATTCACCTCGAATGGCCCCTTAAGCCAGGCGCCATTCCTTCGCACGTGCAGTGTCGCGCGCGATGCCGTATCTGACTATAGTGTGTAATTTCTTACCTAGGAGGTAGACGCGACTTGCATAACACTTGCATTAAGTCGCCGCGGGCTGTATGATGAATGTTCCTTTTTTTTCCTCTTCCCCGAGTGTAGCCTCGCGCTCGCGAAGGAGGGCAACGAAATGCACACAAGTGCCGGCTTGCAAAAATCAAGGTGTTCTATTTGCGAGGGGGGGGGGAGGGGGGACGATATTCCTCTCGCACAATCGCCCCGACAGCCTTCGAACTTCTGCCAAACCGAACAATTCTGTTCCTCCCCCCCCCCCCCGGGGGCGGCAAAATACGTTTCACGGCGAGATGAAAATAAACAAGTTCGGAGAATATTGCTCTGGCCTTGTGGACAACGACATGAGCCGTTTTCGTTTCGCGAAGGCATACAGAAGTCCGTTTGTTCCGCGCGCCCGGGCGCCACTTATTGTTATCATTACATAACATACACAATCGGTTAAAGGAAAATTAACGTTCTACACATATATCTAAAGTTGTCATCTAATTTCTCGCAATTAGGCATTACTTTGCAAGAATTTACATAAAAATTGCAAAAACATGCGCAACCGCATGTTGAACCGTGTATATAGATGTTGAATGTGTGTGTGTGTGTGTGTGTGTGTGTGTGTGTGTGTGTGTGTGTGTGTGTGTGTGTGTCGCGATCGTGGTGTTAAGTACAGTGCAATCTCCCGCGCGCGCGATTACGTCTTCAAACAGGTATTTGCAATCTCTCGATGAGATCGAAACATGCCTAAACCGTGCCGCGCGCGCGGGGCGGGGGAGGAGGAATTCCGCGCGCGTAATCGCCGTCAGACGCTGGATAATCCACGGCGGCAAAATCACGCCCGCGTTCGTATATAACGTACACCTGGAGGTGAGTGTATGTTGCGCCACATGGCGACATCGGCGCGCTAACGGGCGCACGTACGTATACATAGATAGATACATATACATGCACGATACGCGGGAATGCGCGCGCTCACGCGACGGCATATACGCGCGCGCTCGTGACCCAGACACGTAACGTACCGTACCGTGTCGCGTCGTCGTGTCGGCTCCTCGCGTAAGAGATGATTACCGTGCCCACACGGCGATGAAGTACCTCTAGCTCGCGCTCTCGCGCCGCGGGTACTCTACCGATTAGAGAACGATCGTCGTCTGTCCTCACGTGCGCGCCCCGTCGTCTTGTTTGCGCGCGAGGAGCGTTTGCCGTCGGTCGAATGCCGCCGATTGCGATTGCGTTTTGGCGGGCGTATATATACGAGAGAGAGAGACAAGGGTCAAAACGGGTGACGAGTAGCACTCGCCCGACGTGCCTCGGCCTTTGATCGATCGACGTCTGTTGTTTTTGTTTTAGCTCGGCGTTTTCCACACTCCCGCCTTCTTTTCTCTTTCCATATCTCTCTTTACAAGTCCGTAAAGTTCGTAGCTGCAGATCACACACATTGGAGAGCGAGGGATTGCGAATTGAAGAATTTTAGAATTTTAGAATTCGATTCATCAGATAATCTTAGTTTCCATTTCGTTTTCCGATTGGTTATAAACTCTAATCTCCAACTCGCAGCGTTTAATCTTCAATGCGTAATCCGATACGGGCTTGAGGCATTGCGGGCGTTTAAAGTGCAAGAAGAACGTCGTATCGTGAGGCTGTATGATACATCGGCAAAAACGTGTCGGCACGTAAAACGGCGTGATCCGGGAGATGTTAACTTTTCCGGAGTTAATTTAATTCGGCTCTGATTTAATTCGCTGATTTACGTCAGAGACGAGCCTGCATGGCCTTTGGAGAGAGCAAACTTGTAGCTCTTGACGGAAACGCGCAGTTTAAAACTGTCAGACGCGGCGGATCTGAATGAGCAATGATCGGATGTCGCAATCTCGCAACATTGTCACGAATGACTTAAGTAGCAGTCATTGTGGAGAACTCGAGAAGAAGCGCCGAATGGCGCTTCACAAACGGCGAGGAGACGGTGGGACGTTCGAATCGCGGGTTCCTTCAAAAGTGCCGCGTTATTCCCTCCCTCTCCTTCTCTCTGCCCGCATCTTTAATAGATCGACCTACACAGCGTCGATCCCAATGGGCCCTGACCAAGACGACGGCGGCGACGACGCGACGACGACGACGGTGGTGGTGGCATGTGACCGGACACGTCGCAGATCCGACCTTGACGTTGCCCGATTGTAATTGGTAATTGGCCGGTTCACTGACGCGCAAGTCCCCGGTTCGGATTCGCGGTCGGCGGGGTCGGTGAAAGACGCACAGGTGGACTGTCGGTCGATCGATCGGTTCGCGCGCGCGGTCGGGCAAGAAATTACAAATTACGCTTCTCCCCGCTGATAACTTTGTCTCGTACAACTCCCGCCTTTGAGACGCTAAACGCGGTCGTCCGATTCCGACTCTTTCTTTCGATCTTTTTTTTCTTTCTTTTTTTTTTGTATTAGCTTCGTGATATGAAAACGCTCGCCGTTATCACGGGCCAAGAATCATGGCCGCACTTATAGCGCGAGACGTACATCGCGCGGATGGTATTATATGTGTCGTTTCGTCGCTCGTGTAACCGATTCACGTAACGCGTAATCGTACTCGTAAATTCTCGGCGCTTTGGGTTGCGCGCGCGCACGCACGCGCGCCCGTCGTGAGAACCGCTCTTTCGTGTCTCTCTCTTTCTCTCTTCCTCTCTCTTTCGCGCGCGTGATCGTCACCGCGCGTCCCGCGAGAGTCACGTGTGCGGATAACTTTCGCGAGGAATGAACACCGCGGGTCGCTTCGCCGGTGATCCCTTATCGGAATTCCGATTAATCCGCTCGGGTACGAAAAACCCCTCGGGTCGGCGAGATTGCGCTGAGCGCGCGCGCGCGCGTAAACGGTCGACTCTGGATTTTTACGTAATTTGCGTAACTGCCACTGACTGACCTTCTTCTTTTTTCTTTTTTTTCTTTTCTCTTGAAGATCCAAGGCAAAGACATTTTTCTGTATCTCGAGGGTCCTCCGCACTGACGGTCTCCTCATTGAGAACAAGTAAGTTCAAGCTCAATTATGCACGGAAAGGATTGAATTTGTTGAAAGATTTAAAAATTTTTGCTGAATACAGATCTGAAAATTAAATTCTTGTTGAATCATCGAAGAATTTTGTTGGAATGTTAAAAATGATAAGCATTGCTTTAAAACGTTTTGATATTCTATAGCAATTAATTTGACTTTCCAACAAAATTATTTTGAATATTAAACAATTATTTTCAGATCTGGATCCAGCAAAATTGTTCTTTTCGTGTGGATTCCGTGATATATTTATCTAATGAAATCTTGATTCATTCAAGTTGAAGATCTAATATCAAATAAAATGAAAAAAAATAATTTTCCTGCTTGCTTTCGACTCATCCGCAAAAGGGTCACATTGATTACTTTTTTTCTCGAAATAAGTTTCTCTCTCTCTCTCACTGTTACGGAGAAGATACGAAGAGCGTCCGACATCCGGCGCAGATAAACCAAGCCCGTATGGTGTGTGGCTTTTTTTTCCCCCTTTATTTGCCTCTCTTCTACTCACGGACGGTCATCATGATCGCATCACGTGTTTCGAGCGTTCTCTCCGTTGCGCACCGTGCGAGGACTAACGGATTCATTATCTGAATTTCAAGGCGAATCCTCGTCTTCGATCTCTCCTCCTCACGCGATGCGTCTTGCAGTTAAGATATTAAATCGCCGGCTATCCTCTCTCCGCGCGCGGATTTCTCTCCGGCGCGCGTTTATTTTCCCAGTGTCTTAATTGAGAGTGCGCATAATTAATGTGCATTCCTCCGTCGAAAATCTCTGATGAACATTTCTGCGTAACTGCTGCAACGTGTATAGGTATATTAAGTGAGCAATTTATGAAGACAGATTCTTAAGCGAAATGCATATGCATGCGTCTCGATGAAGGGATATATAGCCATCCTGTCTGACTATGCCTGCTCGTACCACTCGTAGAAAGCTCTAACATGTGATCGTTCAATCCGGTGTACAAATCAGGTGTCGAAACAGGATTTAAACTTATTTATTATATGTATCATTCGCTTATCATTTTGATGTAAGTACAGTCTTGGCCGCAAGTATATAAAGTAACGTACTCTCGATTTATTGCATTTTCTTGAAAAAGGCGATAACAAAACTCTATGGAGGACTAACATAAATTATCGAAGTCGTTATAAAAAATAAATATTAGTTTTTAATAAAACTTTTTTCAATTTATTTTTTACTACACGGAAAGAACGGAAAGAAAGAAGATTTTGTTAAAAGGTCTAAAAATTTTGTTGAATACAGATCTGAACATAACTTTTTGTTGAATCATCAAAATAATTTGTTGGAATGTTAACACTGATAAGCATTGCTATAAAACGTTTCGATATTCTAGCAATCATTTTGACTTTTGCACAAAATTATTTTGATTATCGAACAAAAAAAATTATTCTCAGATCTGGATCCAACAAAATTGTTCTTTCCGTGCAGATATAAAACGTTTACGTCAATTTGTAGGGCAAATATGCTTCACAGCTATGGCCAAGGTAGCTATCTATAATTAAATTGCAGAATCAAACAAAGTAACAGTATATTTTATTAATTTTTGCTCGGTATATACATCCGTCAATCGTAAATCGATATAACCGTCGCGCCGAGAGCCGCTTCGCATTTCTTTGCGCCGAGAGTTTCTCTTCGAGCGCGATGTTCCTTTCGCGCGGCCGAGAGGATCGATTGAGCATGCGCGTCCGATCGCGCGGGAACTCGAAGGTCGCGCGGTATCGAGTGACGTCAACCGATAGCCGGCCGGCCGGTCGGACTCCGCCGGTCTACCGGGTCTGCCGGTCCGCTCTCGGCAGACCCGATCGCCGCTTGCGGTCAGGCGTGGGACCCCGCCGCGGTGGTTTAAATGGTCGCCGGAATGCGGTTAAGCCTTTTTGCTATTCGCGCCGCAGTCGTGCACCGTGCGACGGGAGGTATTCAGCGGCGTATCACGCCGGCACGTAGCCCCCGCGGCATCCGCTTCTCTTGCGTTTGCGTTGAATTCAATAATTTCACTCGCGAGCAAACATTTCGACGAAACGATAAATTGAACGGTCGTGATTTTTTTTGCGGAAAAATATCACGGTTTGAGGAAATTTGTCGGGATTCATTGATTCTTTTTAGGCGTGATGTTCGCTTCGTGACGCTGAAGTTGTATTACGTGTCAGCGCTATTTTCATCAATAACGAGAGACGATTTAGAGAGAAACACGAAACGCGAAGAGTCTAATGACTGATCTGCAGTCGCAGAAATATCGCTTATTATAGAATTTAGTCTGTCCGCGTCGATCTTTCAATCGCGCTTCCTCGAAGACGCTTGGCAAGCACGTATATATACGATTACAAAAGTTGGACGTACTCCAAGTAGACGCGAGTAGAACGGTGAACCGACTGAAAATTGACGAACGGATTTTCCTCGGAAAAGCAGATCTGCCGCTTTGTCACATGATTCACCGCGACGATCTGACTTGATGATTCATCGTTGAGAACTGTAATGCGTCCTGGTATACGTACGTCAGAACGAGCGTGTTTCATTCACAGTCGGTCAATTGTCTAGAATTGACGATATGATTCTTGATATTAAAATTTCCATACTTCTTTTCGATCTCTCTCGCATTTATTTACTAAATATTTTTGATATGGATTTAATGAAATTTTTGCTTCGTTGAACAGCGTTAGAAATTCATCCGATAAAATGAGCCAATATATTCTAGTATAAATACTTCAGGACGTGACAATTCAGTTTTCCCGCGTGAGTAATCATTCTTCCACTGAATCTTCCACTCACGTAAATTGCGCGAAGTCGCCACGACGCACATGTGTGTTCGTGGCGCCAGACGCTTAGCGCCACTAATCACCCCGAGGTCTTACGAACGCGACGATTACGTGCAATTAACAACGACAGCGTGCGCGCGCGCGCGCGATTTGCGATAGAGCCGAACGAGCGTGCGGTGGGGGAGCCAGGAAATTCCCAGTTGGAAGGACGATCGTGAAATTCCACGAACTCGAGCCCGGCCGCTCGATCTCTCTCGCGTCTTGCAAGATTAATCACCAGGTGAGGACCGGGGGAGGACGGCCGAGCGAGCGAGCAAAAAACGAGTGCATTTTGCTCGGCCGTATACCGAGATCGCATCTCGGAATCTCGTGATTAACGTCGGCCGGCGGATCAGTTTTCAGCGGCGGGCCGGACTTTTCGCCGCGTCTAAACACACTCAGGGAGCTGCTCTCGGGGATAATGGTACAGCAAGCGGCTTAAAAATCGTATAGAATTCTTGCTGTTACACGAAACAGTCGAGAGATAAAAATACAGAAAAAGAAGTAAACATTATTCTGCAGTAAATGCGGATATAACAAGTAAATTAATTAACGAATTCATATAATTTGATATTACTATTCTTTTGATGACAAATGAGAAAAGTTCTCTTGTATGCGAAATATTAATATCCAATAATTATGTGTTACTAAAATAATTCATAAAGAGCTCGCGACACTTTTTAACTGATTCGCGTGCGTTGGCAGCGTTGGCGGCAATTGCACTCCCACTCGGCGGTCAATTTACACGCCGTCCGCATTTCAAGGAAGACGCCGTCTCGTCTCGTGTTTTAAGGCTACCTTTCGCGGTATTCGCACGCAACTCCGCCCATATCCCTTTTTTTCTCCATCGATGGCGTACAACGCCGGTGTACACGCCGGGCACCCGTCTCGCCATGCAAATTCCTCGCTTAAAGCTTCCAGGAAAGTTGGAACGTCGCTACTTGCGCGCGCGCGTCGCGTCGCATCGGAATCAGGATTCTCTCGCGTTTCGCAAATAGGTGGCGGCGGTCACGCGCGCGTGCTGCTATGCGCGCGTCTGAAAGTCAATTTCGATTTCGAGGAAACAGGTGAAACGCGCGCTTTTCCGCCTCTTCGTTGAAGTGTTCTGCGTTCGTCGTAGATATCGTCGCGACGACAATATCTATCGTTGAAAAATCTGGTCTCTCTTTCTCTTTCTCTCTCTTTCTCTTTGTCTATATTCGCAGCTTTTAAATCCGCGCGATTATAGGCTTCATATACTTTATTTCCCATCTCTGTTCCTCCGTCGCTTTGTGCCTCCCGTGGAAATAAATGATAAATGTCACTGATCAACATTTCGATACCTCGTGACTTTCTTGATGTTATCTTTACTCCGAATACAGGCGCTTAGAATTTATATATTCCGACATTCTTCCGTCGTGAAAAATGAGCGGCGCACTCGTAAAGTCCCGCCGCGTTGAGATCGAGAAATAAAAATTCGTAACGTTAATAGGCAGAATAATTACACGCGGGCGCGGTGCTGAATTTATCCAGGCTGACGTTGCGTTACGAAAGCCATCGTACGAAAGTGAGGAAAATGTCAGGCAGTCCATTATTAAAATACGTATATAATACAGGCGGTTGACGTGGGTTGTATTCTAATATCATTGAAATGCAAGGTTTCACCGCGAACGTAACGCGCCTTCTGGTTATTGCAAAACAATTTTGCTTCGCGGTATCGGTTCTGCACGCAGACGGGTTTGGCATCTTGCGAAGGCATTGGTTAACACTCTATCTAAGCAGAAACTTAGAAATCAACTGCCCCCCTCCCCCTCGTTCTCTCTTTCTGTCTGCCAAGTTTTTTATGTTATCGTCGTTTCTATTTATAAAATTTTTCTTTCTTTCTTTCTTATTCCTGATATCTTACTTAGTTACTTATTCTTAACATTTTCTTTTTTACTGATTCCTAATATTTTATTTAAGGAATTTAAATATTTTGTAGTTTTTTCATTGCTATTTTTTATCTATCTTTAATATTTGTTTTTTTAACATCCTGCTAAAATGATTAATTTCAGCGAGGGAGTAACCTGATTCCTCTTTCATTTTTACACCTTTTGCATTTCTCTAATCTCACGTTATTTATTCCTGAGGGGGATTGTCCTTTAAATAATACCATCACATATTTTTCCGTTTCTTTTTACTCCGACTTACAAA